ATACATATAGAAGTAGTAGCTTGGCTTATTTTAAATCTTTCATGTGTTAATGGTTTCTTTTTCCCCTCTCTCACTCCCACCTTTGTTCCTTTCTCTCTTTCCTTCCCTCCCTTTCTTCCTTCCTTCCTTTTTGTTCTTAGTTCAAGAATTTGTTTTTCACACGAGGAAGTTCATTACCAGAATATACCCCAAAGCAACAAGAGCAGATTCTTCTAACTTTAATCCTCAAGAATTTTGGAATATAGGTTGTCAAATGGGTATGTTATACGGAATATCAAGTTTGTAAAAATAAGTTAAAATGAATTCATTTTATGAATTAACAAGTTAGCTCTTTATAATGATTTTTTGACCTTGGCGGTTTTGGGTTGAGACACTCAGTGTTGAATCATTGGTCTCCAGACTTGTATTCATCCATAGATGGCTTGGAGAGACTAAATCTAGGTGGATTTCAGGCATAGAGGTTCAGTTCCTGAAGCATTGTTGTAGACCACGTGTGGCAGAGTCAAGGAACAAGGACGCGAGAAGGAACAGAAGACATTGAGTCATATTCTTTTGCTTGAAAACTAAGCTTAAAGACCCCTAAATCTATAGTTTGCGTGAATTGCCAGATTCAGTCTTGAAAAAGGGCAGTCATATAGGTTGGTTATAAATGCTTGCAGGCTCTCGATTCCTAATTGTGCAGTTAGCATAGGACTGGCACTAACTGGGCAGCATCAGGTGTTAACCCTCCTGCTACTTGGGTCTAGCAAGGTGTCTGGGCTTGAGCAGAAGGGTCTCCCATGTGTGGGAGACAGCTTGGGGTTACAGGGTGGTACAGTGCATGGTGCTCTTTGCCAGCATGTTATTGAGATAGCACTATGCTTTAACAATTGTCATTCAGTCTGTTTCTTTCTTTGTCTTCAGATGACAACCACCCCTTCTGGACTTGAAAGCTTGTGATGTAGTTGTTTTCTAAATTTAATGGACTAATATTTTTAGTTTTATATTTCTTGAATGTTATCTGACATACATTGGTTGTCTGCAATCCATATTATGTGCCATTTGATTCCTTTCTTCAAATATGTATAATAATTTAATTTATGATTAAACTTCACAACTCACCAATACTCATTAATATAGATATGGGAAGTGGAAAATGATTAAAAGTCAAGAAGTACTAGGCTAATGATGCTTTTATTACATGCAAAGATATATAATCTGTGATTAGATTTCAGTTATTTGTTTAACTGTTTATACTTCCTTCTCACAGTGGCCTTAAATTTTCAGACCCCTGGTCTGCCTATGGATTTGCAAAATGGGAAATTTCTGGACAATGGTGGTTCTGGATATATTTTGAAACCACACTTCCTAAGAGATACTGTATCAAAATTTAACCCAAATACTTCAACAAATGACAATGATCCAATTGCAATTACAATAAGGGTAAGATGAATGATGTCTCCTTTTGGTTTTCCCTTGGTTATTACGTCAGCTACATAGTATACATTACTCTTTTAAATTCCATTGATTTGCTTTAAAAGCTTTACAATCTCTCCACCTTTCAGGGGCTATAGATGGTGTGGCATTTCAGCATCTTTCCATATCTGAAAAATGTCCTTCTGTTTTTTTTACGTGAACACCTACCTACCTCTGAATACAAATACCGAGGCTCAAGCCTTCTCCTCCCAAGAATCTGCTCACATCCTTCTGCTGTGTTTCAGCATTCACAGGTCTGAGTTCAGCCCTCTCATGAGCTTGCGACATGCTACCTTTGCCCCTTTAAACTTTAAGAAGATTCACCACGCGATTCTAGGTGATATTTCCTTTCTAGAACTAGGCTCTTATAAAAGTTCAGGACTTTTTCTCTCTCATATCTATGGACATTCTTTGATTGCTTCAAAGCAAAAGTACCCCCATGATTTTCTCTAGTGTGTTTTCTGTGTTTAATTTCTGTTGACATGGAGCATTCCGTTTTCCTGTGCATTTTTGGGGGAGGTTTCAGCATTTGTTCTCTATGTTAATAATTTAGTCTCTATTCATATTCTCTAGTAATTTTATTATGGATGTGAATTTTTCTCCTGCATTGCTTGGGCCTCCCCCATTGTTATTTACCTAAAAATACCTTCTTTTTATTTTTGTCTGACTCCTCACCACTAATTCTTCTTGTACTCCCATCTTGTTCTCCTATTTTTCTCCTTTTGTTCTATAATTTCATTGAAAGCAAAAGCAGTTGTCCAAAATTTATTGTTTCCATCAGTACAGACTTTTCAAAACCTCCTTATTCTTTTATAATCTAAGCGCTGTATTTATTGTTTAATATACCACTGAGTATTTTGAAACTGTCTAGCTTCATTTTCCCCCCACTTAATTGTGATCAGCTATAACTGTACCTAATATTTGCAAATACATCACGGAGGTATGGCCCCTTTGTTCCCTCTTTCATATTCAGACAGTTGCTCCTAGAGCAGCAACAAACAGAAATACTGGAGCGTTACCCAGGATTTGAAGGCAGATTTATTGAATGTTGATGGGCCTTGATAGGGATTCATTCCTAAAATATCAGACTCTGAAGGCTCATAGAGGGAAGTTTTCATGAGATTGGGAATGCAAAGTACAGAGGGAGAATGACTTGTGAATTAGGGATTGGTTCGGGCACTGTGCATCGTAGACACCAGACCTGTCAGGGATACAGAAGTAATAGGACCTGTACTAACAACTAAAGCAAACTAGAGGTTACCTAGTGTAACTAACAGAAACAGACATTTATGGTGGGAGAGGGGGGCATTTTCTGCAATACTAGTTTGTGTGAACCATCTCAGAACCTATCCTAGAATCTGGGTCCATGCAAGCATTAGTTTGTTGTGTCTCATGCCCTTGCCTAATGAAGCTCTGCTGTGATTTGCTGGCTACTGAGAAGTTATTGATCCACCTCAGCTGGCTGGTGGAGCTCAGGACACCCAGGCGCCCAGGAATGTGTTTCTCCCAGCACTCCTTCCTCAGCCCCATCCTCTGCGGTCCCAACATCTGAGGGCACGGAAGACCACTCATCTACTTCTGGTCCCAGACTTTAAGCCAGCAGGGAATGAGAGGTTTGAGAACTGTTTTCCAGAAATGAAAATGGGAGGAGAGTGCAGAAAAGATGGGGAGGATTGAAGTGAGGCTGGCCCTGGCAGTGAACAGTGGCAGTGAAGTATGGAGCAGAATTTTCTCCTGGCTCTTCATTAAGACTGGAGTCTTTTTTTAATTTTTTATTTATTTATTTTTTGGTGGAACCGGGGATTGAACTCAGGTCCTTGCGCTTGCCAGTGAAGCGCTTATTCCACTGAGCCATCTCCCCGGCCCCAAAAGGTGACAGGGCGCAAGACTGAAGTCTTAACAGTGGAGAGGTACAAAATGGTACTTGAGCTGGGGCAGGCAAAAAGACTGATGTGTTGATCCCATTCTAGGACCTGGTAAAGCACTGGTCATTGAGATGACTTTTTAAAGTTCTTATAAGGTTGACATTGCTTTTGTCATTTTTTTCAAGTAGTTGGTCTAGTTGAGAAGAAGAGAAGAGTTATCTCCTGCATGGTCCTTTCCTACTCCATGCTAATCTCCCTCTGGAGCCCTCTGCCCCAGCCTCACTCTCTATTTCCTACTTCCAAGTGATTGTCTCACTGTTGTTGGTAGAGTCTTC